TGCTGAATTGTTTCTGCACATGCCCAAAAGCCCTGGACTAGATGCCTAGGGAGCTAAAGCCATTTTGAGTCACTCTTTGGAATTTAAGTGATTATTTCCACGTAAGTGCTATTTACATGCCTAGGAAGTTGCTTTGAATCCCATTCCAACGGCCTGAATTTGTTTGCGGATCTGAACCTCAGTTACTGAATAGGAAGTTGTGGGTTGTGACAGTGCTTTCCCTAAATGGCTGGGAAGGATGCATTAGAGAGAGAGAAATCTCATAAGGTTCATAGACAGACACATGGTTTTTTGGTTCAGGACCTGAAATAACCTAGTGGCCAGAAAAATATCTTCAAGCCAATTTCAATCTTGAGTGGACTGAGAGCCAATCACCAAGGAAGAGCTCATCCTAAACTTTAAATAAAAATTGCAGTCCCCAACTGTAAGAGTGTTCCTACTACATACAGTAACATATAGAGATACAGAGTCTGTGACTTTACCTCTAGGAAAGGGACAGCCACTAATCACTTAATCAGCATTATGTTTTTGCAATGGAATAGGAACTATCTTATTGGATTTTAATCAAAAGGATGCCCTGGACAGCACCAGCAACAAGATCTGATTCTATAAGGACCTGTTAGACTGTGATATGCATACTTCTTGATGATAGTAGAGGTGCTAAGATTCTGATCAAGAAAAACACTGTAGAACACATACCTATGAATGCCACAGCCAAGAGGTCTCTATTTTTAGATGCCCAACTTGACATTCCACAGTGGGGACTGGTTTTAAAAATACACTGAACCCCCAGCCTCTAATTATCAGGGCCATATTTAATTCAATAATTTAGGGTATCTCAAGCTTCCAAATATGGAGGAACTAACATCATTTGCCCCTTTCCAAAACAGCACCTCTCGTGCTCAAAGCTAAATTTGTATGTAGGTCCCAACTCAGGAAGCACTTCAGCATGTACTTGAATCCCACTGTACTCAGGATAGACCTTAGGTACATATTTAAATTTATGAACGTGCTTAAGTGCTAGCCTAACATGCCTGCTTTCCTGAATCAGAGCCCAAGTACTATACTGATCGGAGCCTAAGCTAATATAAATAAATTCCATAATTGGAATTGGAACTTGTCATGGCGGGGTCCTGCAGGAGGGCCGTGATCTCCTTAAGGCCCTCTCTCCATGCCAATTCGGCCCAAGGGCACCCTCTATTCTCGCCTGCCTCGTCTTGGATCTTAAGTTAAGTTGGGAGGCTGCCTTACGTCTCCTTGGCACAGTTAGCTGGGACCTCTGTCCCCGTGGTCTCCCGGACCCACCGGGGGTCTCCCTGTATTCTGGGTGCTTCTCAGGCACCCTAGCCTTATGGGCTATGCGTGGCTCCTACCAACCCCTAATACCACGCCCCAAGCCTCGCAGATGTACTGGACGTTGGTCTGTCAACACACCCGCTTCCCCTGGCTTCCTCCGTAGTCTAGCCCACTCCTGGGCCTTCTCTGTATGCTCTATGGAAATGCCCCCTCCTAGGCTCTCCCTGTGCCCACTCTGGGCTCTCTCTAATATGCGGCCCCTCACTGGGACTCTCGTCGAGCCCACTCTGGGCCTTCTCTAAAATAATCTAGCCCGCTATGGGACTTTCTAGCGGGTCTCCGGTCCTTTAGGCCCAACGCACTGCTACCCTCTCTTATCCGGGCTCACCGCGCTGCTATCCCCTTTTCTCAGGGACCACCGCAGCACCTTGCCCTGCTCCTGGGGTGCTGTACTGCTAACCCCTTTCATCAGGGTCCACCGCAGCCCCCACCCCTGTCTGAGATCTACTGCCGTGCTAGCCTACAACCGGGCTCGCTACGCCCGTCTTGGGCTTTTCAATAGTATCGCCCCCTCTCTGGGGCTCACTGTGCCCACGCTGGGCTCCCTAATGATACCGCCCCTTCTCTGGGGTTCGTTGTGCCCACGCTGGGCTCCCTAATGATACCGCCCCTTCTCTGGGGCTTCTCAATGTTGCCCCCTCCCTGGGGCTCAGTGTGCCCACCTTTGGGCTTCTCAATGTTGCCCCCTCTTTGGGGCTTGCTACGCCCACACTGGGCTCTTCAAACGCCCCTCTCTGGGGCTGGGGTCTACGCACCCCCATAAACTGTGCCCTTACAGGCGCCTGGATCCCCACGCTATTGTGGGTCTCCTATGAGGCCTCCTCCAACCCCTAATAGCCTCACCCTAGCCACCAGTGTAATACAAACACTAAAGCAAACACAAGCCTCCTGGCTATAACCAAAACCTAAGGCACTGGGCCATAAC